GGGCATGCCACGAGTGGACAGCGCATGGGCTCCTTGAATGGGCAATGCCACGAGAAGCGGAGATGGCTTGCGGTTCTCTGGAAGCTGTCGACGTAAGCACAGCCACCCTCCTTTCCTTCCTCCTGAAGTATGAGGAGGTATTGCTTGTAGAATGGGTGGTAGAAGGCGTGCGACCTGTAAGTGGTGAGAACTTTGCAGTCCACGGTGAGTGGAGACAAATTGGCTGAAAGTGTTGTTGTGACTGGAGTACTGACCAAATGCCAAAGCTGAGGGCGGGAGGGAGGGAGAGATGGAAGGCCTAACCACTGTCTGACTTGAAGTTTCCACTTTTTTAGCTCTTGAGTCACTGTAGTGTCCTTTGTAGTGAATGGCAATGAGGCGTGAATAAGAGGAAACTTCCACATTAAAATCTGCTACCCTCTTAATCCTGATCTCGATGCATCGTACATGAAGAAGGATTTCCCAAGGCCATTTCAAAATGGGCTGCTTAAAAGTTGGCACATGAGATTGATGAATAAGTGTGTTTCGCGTCGTGCTGTCGCTTGACCCATTTCACATCTCTGGAGGACAAAACGTTTGACACTTCCCATTGTCCAAATCTACTGGATCTCTTAAACCCCTTCCTAATGTGTTTATGGTATTCACAAAGTTTCTGTTTTGCCTTAACAACCAACATACTCCAACCATACGAGTATAGGAATCCTTAAAATTGTTGATATATCCTTGAGATTCCTTTTGAGCTGCTTCTCTGTGAACTTAGGCGCCTCTACCTCGACTGCACTGATTGGTTGTCGCGTCAAAACGTCAAAGGGGTGGACATTTACCACAGTTGTTTAATTTTAAAGTGACTCGAAATAGTAAAACCTATTTTAGACAGAAAGGTAATAAAACAATTTTAATTTCCCTTTTTCCTTGGAGGTGAGGCCTCCTCCAGACAGAAATATAAACGACTGCTTTGTGAATCGGCTAGCATAGATTAAGGGCATATAAAGAAGTCTCTATAGCCTACTTTTTTGTCATAAATATGCCTAAAGGATAGCAATAAATGAAGAGGGATAAAAGGCAACAGTGGTGGGGTAGGTGTGGGGGAGCGAGCGCAGAGGAGGATGGAAGTGGAGTACCTCGATTTTCTTTTTATAGTTTCTGTCGTAATGGGTGTACACTCCGAGTGAACGAGAGTGCCCTGTTTAATGTATCTTTTAAAGGCCATTAGAAGGCACAACACACTTGTTGTTAAGGCGGAGTATTAACCAAGTGGTGTACCTTCTCTCCTCCCTAAAAGGTATTCATCCTCTCCTTACCCGTAAATGTATGAGAAAGGCTTAAAAACCCAGTCATAATCAAGTTCTGTAAAGACACAATGTAAACTTTTACTGTCAAACTCAGGTGTCAATGTGGGGAAAAAAGGGGAGTGCATTTATCCACCTAGGATGTCAAATGTTCCCACATGCAAAATGTGTTCACGTCGAAGCGAGACTTTTACTCTACTCTGATTGGCTGCGAGTGTGTGTGCCTACCGTGCTGCAAGCACAGTCTGTAAGGTGGTGACACCTAAGCGGTTTGATTGGTAAACAAAGTTGTACGGGGACAAGACTGGTAAATTTTCTTACTTCAAAGCCTCCCACGTATGAGTTATGTGCTGTCAAATGTAAACTAGCTTTTTCATTCTGCCGCAACTACAACTGTAATGACTGACTCGGAGGGTTAATTTAGGAGGACCTCGAAGAGACTTAGGGAAATTAGACAGCCTTTTTTCTTATCTTAGGCATCAACCTTCTACTGGTGATATCTGTCACCACAGGAAACATTCCCGCTCCACTTTTCAGGAAAAGTGTTAAGACGCGCGCTTTATTTTAACTCCTTTGATTGTCCAATTCCAGGCACAGATAAATTTTAAATCCACTGGGCAAGAATAAAAGCCAACAACCGACAGGGTTCCACCTCATGCACACAAATTTCGATCCGTAACACAGCCCTCAGCCCTTTGTTCGTTTATAAAAGCTAAATTTTGAACTTGGATGCATGGCCACCTCTTAAGAGGTGAAGTGAGAAGCAAAAATCCTCTCCTTCAGCATCATTTGCTCATTTCACTGGAAAGATTGGGAATAAAAAAACATTCATGAACTTGTTACTTGGGGGTACCGCGAAAAGCGGTGGCCTAATTCTGAGCCAATGGGCCTAATCGCATTCCCACAGAAAAAAAAGTTATAAAATAAAATAATGATCACATCAGTATTAGGCAATTTAAAATAAGGAAATAAAAGCTGGCACGTGCAGTTCTGACTGAGAATCAGTGCGCCTCCTACCATTCTGATTGGCTATTTTGAAGACAACGAGCATGTATCGACTTCGGGGTTTAACCAATCGGGTTACTGAGTTTGGAGAACCAATAAATTGAATTCGCGTGTGTAGCCAATTGGAAAGGAGAATGAGTCCAACTACAATATTTTAGAAAGTTATCTGAAGTTACAGAAATTCAGGCTTCCAGATTTACTAGATAATATAATCGATTTTCGTGTAGAAATAATAAAAGGTGGTGTTACCATGTCCCCATTTAAGGTTTGAAGGGAAAAAATACTACTAATCGCCAACCCTTTACAACCGGCTGGATTAATTCAAGACAAATTAATAACCTCACAAAAGATCCTCAACAACCTTTTTTTAAAAAAATAGCAAAGAATAATACTTCTGGATTTTCTTTTGTGCATCTTGACGGGTAACCCCCTATTTCCGGTACCTGACAAGCCACCAAAATTCACTTTTGTTGGGTTCCATCGGATAACCTGCACTCCATCACAAGGTTTCTGTTGAGATGGCATTTGTCATGCAGAATTCATGATTTATTTTCCTTCCTCAAGTGTCTTCAAGCTGTCGACTGATTATGAGCTAAGCGTTGAGCTCATGGAAAGGATTAAGCAGAGTGAAAAAATTCCACAGTTTCCGGTTTCTAAACTTCCCACCTATTGTTTGGTTTAATTCATTGTTCTAGGTGTTGAATAGTCAGACATTTTGCGAGTGCCTTAGCCATCAAACTAAGGAAGCATAGTAGAGCTACCAGAAATACTCACAAATTTGAGGATATTCCACCGTCTTCTAAGCCAAGTTCACCATTTCTTTGGGCCAAAAATCCAACTTGTCAGTTTTGGGGTCTCAGCACATATTTAGTCAGCCAAATTAAACGACAAAAATGGCGAATCGTAGAATCGGACCGAATTCGCCTCCCCTGGCGCGTGTGTACTAAGTAGACAACGAGGGAGTCCCCCAATGTCAAATGAATTAGAGAACTCAAAGTGAAGGAGATTAATAAAAACCAAATCCCGACACTAATTTCCAGAAAAACTCCCTGTAAACAGAGTAGGATTTCGAGAAAATGCACCCACTTGCGTTAAATGTACGAAAAATGTGAAACAAATCAGTGAGCAGTGGACGAGACTGTCAAGGAGAAATGAGCAAAAAGACGACAAAGAGATTCAGCGTGGATGAATAGATGAAGGGATAGTTACGGGATGGACACAGGGTGGATGGATTGGCTCAGGACGAGAAGCTAGCTCCTGATATCGAGAACGTGCTAACCAAGTGAAATCAGTTGACCTCTCACAATCGCCATCTAAGCACACAATTGTACACCACTCACATATAGATAGGTCAAAGGCATGCACCTCGACTTTCTTTTAAGCATTTTGGACTTTGGCCAATACTGCCATCTTGATGCCGATGACCAAATCACCATGGTGAATATTAAAAATTGTCCCTTTGCAAAATTGAGTCTATAGCTAAGACCGCTTTCGTCCCTATTCCAAGAGGATGGAGTTGTTAACCAGATTCAAGTGAATATTAGAAGGTGCTGCCTTTAACCCAGGATTGAGGATCGAGACAAGTTGGCAAAGGCCCTACGGATTTCCCAGGCAAGGGCCATACGAGTGATGGAGAAATCAGACAATATTAAGGAAACGATTGTGTGTGACTCCTATCGGGAGGCTTCATTTTAGGGAACAGAAGGTTTTTCGTACTACGTTGCCATTTTAAGCACCTGGAGTGAGTACATATTCGTCAAAATTGGAGGAACTGTGGGGATGCTACTTAAAAGATTATGAGTAGACACGAGTGATGTTGACAACAGGGACCAACTTAGTTAATTGCTAGCGATTAGAAGAGGATTTTGAGCTGGGCCACCCCATACATTAAAATGCTTAACTAATTCTACAAAATTGTCAAGCAGTAGGAAGGACATTCGACCTCTCTGGTGGCTCTGTTCAATGAGGCTGTCACACCCTTACTTTCAACCGGAAAGTACTTACTACTTTCCACACCAAGACTACTGCTTCCTACCAGTTGGAGCACTGAGGAGGTATTGCTTGTAGAATGGGTGGTAGAAGGCGTGCGACCTGTAAGTGGTGAGAACTTTGCAGTCCACGGTGAGTGGAGACAAATTGGCTGAAAGTGTTGTTGTGACTGGAGTACTGACCAAATGCCAAAGCTGAGGGCGGGAGGGAGGGAGAGATGGAAGGCCTAACCACTGTCTGACTTGAAGTTTCCACTTTTTTAGCTCTTGAGTCACTGTAGTGTCCTTTGTAGTGAATGGCAATGAGGCGTGAATAAGAGGAAACTTCCACATTAAAATCTGCTACCCTCTTAATCCTGATCTCGATGCATCGTACATGAAGAAGGATTTCCCAAGGCCATTTCAAAATGGGCTGCTTAAAAGTTGGCACATGAGATTGATGAATAAGTGTGTTTCGCGTCG